ATCTTAAAAAAAAAAAAAAAAAAAAAAAAAAAAAAAAAAAAGTTCCTTGAATCCCACATTCTTCAGTTATCACCCAGTTCTCTCATGCATTTAGCATAGTCTATCTCCAAGGAGATGTCTACACTTACCTCACAGTCAAGCTTCCCTGGTAATTAATGAAACTGCTGTTTTTCAAGGACACTTACTCTCATTTTCTCTCCTTCTCAATAGAATAAACAATTGAGTATTTCCAACATAAACTGAAGACTGGACAGTATTCTGGTTCATTTCTTTAGAAAGTCATCACTGCTAATATTCCTTCAGAGAGAAATCAAAAACTGATATACATGTACCTTTTTTCTTCTGGATCTGTTTCACAGCATCTGTCGTCCTCAGTCAATTGCAGTGGACCACCAGGCGGTGACTTGGCCGTTTCCAATGTTCCTACAACCATCGGAGTTTCAGAGGTCCATTTCCTGTTTTCATTTTTCTTGCCTTTATTTTTACAAGAACTGGAGTTCCAAATTTGAAAAAAATCCATGAAAAAAAAACATTGGTTTCTAATCATTCTGCTGATAACTACAAAACCAATTTGTGAAAACTCCCCCATCTTTCCCATCTGAACTAATTTTCTTCTTTAAGAATTATTCTGAATGGTCAACTACATACAAAGAAATGCATCTTCTTGGCTTCCAAATAGGGGTAAATGGAATAATGTGACACATTTGTTCTTTGCTGAAAAGTTGTATAGACTCGTTGTCGACCAAGGTTTGAGATCCGTATCTAGTGGCTTAAACTCATGATGGATGTGTGTGCGTGCATGACCAAGGTCCTGAGAAGAGAATGGAAGACAAGAAATTGTGGCGTGGCCATCCCACCTGGGGAATGGTTTCTCTCTTTCTGTCTCTCTTTCTCTGTCTTTCTGGTAGGCACACGCACCCTGTCACTAAAATCTCTCAAAAAATAAAAAATTCCTCCCTGTTCACCAGATTCTAAACAACTTATTACATTGACATTACTAATATTTTAGAGTATTTTACTATATCATAGCTATTTCTTATGATACTGTCCAAAGATACTGTCAGACACATATGAAGGGGGATAAAATTCTACTTCAAGTAGGGACCAGCAATTGATGTGGACATCAAGGCACTGGATCCCGCACGACAGTCAGTGCTGTTCAAGTCCCAGTCCTGGCACCTTGAAGAATATGCTGGGCTTTTGTTTGCATGCCCGAAATTCTGTGAGCAGAACATAGAAGAGACTCTGGCATTTCCATTTCTCCCAGAGGATGTCTTCTAACCCCTGAGCCCATTTTTTTGTCTCTGGAGAGCACTCATGCTATACTCAGGGATAAGGATGTAAGTAAAACTTATGTTCTGTTCAGTCTGCCTTGAGTGTTCACATGGTTTTTGAGTCAGAGTTTAACACTAATCTGTGCGTGGCAGTTCAACTTTTCAATCATCACATAGATGCTGAAGTACATTATAGGATATTCCATATCTGAATCAATTCTTAATGAATGCTCTCTTACCTTAAAACTGTAAATGAAGAGAAGTTTTAAGAAAAATTATTAATAATTTTGTTCAATATTTAAAACATGTATGAAGCTCTCTAATACTTAGACAGTCAAAGAAACTTAAATTCAAAAAACATGTCCTGTTCTTTAGATCGTTACCAACAGCTTACAAACATCCTCTAGAAGAATCGGTTTTATAATTTTATAAAAAGGAAATAACACTTCCTTGAAACCCACCTTCTTCAGATATCACCCAGTTCTCTCAAGCCTTCAGCAGAGTAATTCTCCAAGGAGATGTCTAGACTTACCTCACAGTCAAACTTCCCTGGTAATTAATGAAACTGTTTTTGTCAAGGACATTTACTCTCATTTTAGTCACCTCCTGAATAAATTAAACAATTGAATATTCCCGTGTTGGACCTGAAGACAGGACACTATTCTGGGTCATTTCTAGAAAAAGCCATCACTGCTAATATTCATTCAGAGAGAAGTCAAGAAGTGATAATGTTCCTTTTTTTCTTCTGTATCTGTTTCACAGCATCTGTTGACCTCAGTCAATTGCTGTGGATCACCAGGCAGTGACTTGTCCTTTTCTGACATTCCTACAACTTTTGGGCTTTTGGAAGCCCATTTCCTGTTTTCATTTTTCCCATATTTATTTTCACAAGATCTGGAGTTCCAAATTTGTAAAAAAAAAAATCCATGAAATAAGCCATTGGTTTCTAATCATTCTACTGAGTACTACAAAACCAATTTGTATAAACTCCCCTATCTTTCCCATCTGAATGTATTTTCTTGTTTAAAAATTATTTTGAAGGGTCAACTACACAGAAATAAATGCATATTCTAGGCTTCAAAACAGGGATTAATGGAATAATGTGAAACATTAGTCTGTCTTTGAATAGTTGTACCTAAGCAGAAAGAAGGCTTTATATTGGTACAACAGAGGGCATAATGGCTATACTCCCATGTAGTCGACCATGGTTTGCTTCCCAGATTCAGTGGCTTAGACTCACGCTGGACGTGTATGCATGCGTGTTCAATTTCCTGAGAGGAGAATAAAGGAGAAGGGATTGCAGTGTTGCCATGCCCCCTGGGGAGTGACTTCTCGCTTCCTGTCTCTCTGTCTCTCTGTCTCTCTTTCTGGCGAGCACATGTGCCCTGTAGTAAAAACCTCTCTCTAGAAAAATAAAAAAGAAGAAGGCTTTATATTAAAAAGATTAAAAAATATATATAAGAGGACCTTTCCAAACAAAAAAGAAGAAAAGCAATCTACTAAGTGAAACAGAGTGAGCACAACGTTTAGACACGGAGAGCGTAGGTGCCCCCATTAGAATTGGAAGGACTAGCAGGCATCAAAGCAGTGAAAATAGGGATGCTGAAGACAATGTGGAACAGGATCAGAGAAGGCAAGAGTATAAAGAAGGATAGCAAGTGAGCAAATAGAGAAACATGACATTAGTGAGACACAGAAATGGTTTATTACCTGCTGATTATAACATGTATAGAATTCTCAACTGGGCTGGTCTGAGAAGTATTTCATGTTGGAATCAAAAACTGATATACATGTACCTTTTTTCTTCTGGATCTGTTTCACAGCATCTGTCGTCCTCAGTCAATTGCAGTGGACCACCAGGCGGTGACTTGGCCGTTTCCAATGTTCCTACAACCATCGGAGTTTCAGAGGTCCATTTCCTGTTTTCATTTTTCTTGCCTTTATTTTTACAAGAACTGGAGTTCCAAATTTGAAAAAAATCCATGAAAAAAAAACATTGGTTTCTAATCATTCTGCTGATAACTACAAAACCAATTTGTGAAAACTCCCCCATCTTTCCCATCTGAACTAATTTTCTTCTTTAAGAATTATTCTGAATGGTCAACTACATACAAAGAAATGCATCTTCTTGGCTTCCAAATAGGGGTAAATGGAATAATGTGACACATTTGTTCTTTGCTGAAAAGTTGTATAGACTCGTTGTCGACCAAGGTTTGAGATCCGTATCTAGTGGCTTAAACTCATGATGGATGTGTGTGCGTGCATGACCAAGGTCCTGAGAAGAGAATGGAAGACAAGAAATTGTGGCGTGGCCATCCCACCTGGGGAATGGTTTCTCTCTTTCTGTCTCTCTTTCTCTGTCTTTCTGGTAGGCACACGCACCCTGTCACTAAAATCTCTCAAAAAATAAAAAATTCCTCCCTGTTCACCAGATTCTAAACAACTTATTACATTGACATTACTAATATTTTAGAGTATTTTACTATATCATAGCTATTTCTTATGATACTGTCCAAAGATACTGTCAGACACATATGAAGGGGGATAAAATTCTACTTCAAGTAGGGACCAGCAATTGATGTGGACATCAAGGCACTGGATCCCGCACGACAGTCAGTGCTGTTCAAGTCCCAGTCCTGGCACCTTGAAGAATATGCTGGGCTTTTGTTTGCATGCCCGAAATTCTGTGAGCAGAACATAGAAGAGACTCTGGCATTTCCATTTCTCCCAGAGGATGTCTTCTAACCCCTGAGCCCATTTTTTTGTCTCTGGAGAGCACTCATGCTATACTCAGGGATAAGGATGTAAGTAAAACTTATGTTCTGTTCAGTCTGCCTTGAGTGTTCACATGGTTTTTGAGTCAGAGTTTAACACTAATCTGTGCGTGGCAGTTCAACTTTTCAATCATCACATAGATGCTGAAGTACATTATAGGATATTCCATATCTGAATCAATTCTTAATGAATGCTCTCTTACCTTAAAACTGTAAATGAAGAGAAGTTTTAAGAAAAATTATTAATAATTTTGTTCAATATTTAAAACATGTATGAAGCTCTCTAATACTTAGACAGTCAAAGAAACTTAAATTCAAAAAACATGTCCTGTTCTTTAGATCGTTACCAACAGCTTACAAACATCCTCTAGAAGAATCGGTTTTATAATTTTATAAAAAGGAAATAACACTTCCTTGAAACCCACCTTCTTCAGATATCACCCAGTTCTCTCAAGCCTTCAGCAGAGTAATTCTCCAAGGAGATGTCTAGACTTACCTCACAGTCAAACTTCCCTGGTAATTAATGAAACTGTTTTTGTCAAGGACATTTACTCTCATTTTAGTCACCTCCTGAATAAATTAAACAATTGAATATTCCCGTGTTGGACCTGAAGACAGGACACTATTCTGGGTCATTTCTAGAAAAAGCCATCACTGCTAATATTCATTCAGAGAGAAGTCAAGAAGTGATAATGTTCCTTTTTTTCTTCTGTATCTGTTTCACAGCATCTGTTGACCTCAGTCAATTGCTGTGGATCACCAGGCAGTGACTTGTCCTTTTCTGACATTCCTACAACTTTTGGGCTTTTGGAAGCCCATTTCCTGTTTTCATTTTTCCCATATTTATTTTCACAAGATCTGGAGTTCCAAATTTGTAAAAAAAAAAATCCATGAAATAAGCCATTGGTTTCTAATCATTCTACTGAGTACTACAAAACCAATTTGTATAAACTCCCCTATCTTTCCCATCTGAATGTATTTTCTTGTTTAAAAATTATTTTGAAGGGTCAACTACACAGAAATAAATGCATATTCTAGGCTTCAAAACAGGGATTAATGGAATAATGTGAAACATTAGTCTGTCTTTGAATAGTTGTACCTAAGCAGAAAGAAGGCTTTATATTGGTACAACAGAGGGCATAATGGCTATACTCCCATGTAGTCGACCATGGTTTGCTTCCCAGATTCAGTGGCTTAGACTCACGCTGGACGTGTATGCATGCGTGTTCAATTTCCTGAGAGGAGAATAAAGGAGAAGGGATTGCAGTGTTGCCATGCCCCCTGGGGAGTGACTTCTCGCTTCCTGTCTCTCTGTCTCTCTGTCTCTCTTTCTGGCGAGCACATGTGCCCTGTAGTAAAAACCTCTCTCTAGAAAAATAAAAAAGAAGAAGGCTTTATATTAAAAAGATTAAAAAATATATATAAGAGGACCTTTCCAAACAAAAAAGAAGAAAAGCAATCTACTAAGTGAAACAGAGTGAGCACAACGTTTAGACACGGAGAGCGTAGGTGCCCCCATTAGAATTGGAAGGACTAGCAGGCATCAAAGCAGTGAAAATAGGGATGCTGAAGACAATGTGGAACAGGATCAGAGAAGGCAAGAGTATAAAGAAGGATAGCAAGTGAGCAAATAGAGAAACATGACATTAGTGAGACACAGAAATGGTTTATTACCTGCTGATTATAACATGTATAGAATTCTCAACTGGGCTGGTCTGAGAAGTATTTCATGTTGGGTAAATTATTTTTACAACAAAACTATTTATAGTGACTGAATGTCTAAAAAATGAGAATAAAAATAATGAAAATAATTTGGAAAAATGATAAAATGCTATTTGATGATGATAATGTGGATAGTAATGTCTTTGTCTTGACTGATATGCATGGTATTACTTCTGGAAAAAGAAATGTAATACACTGTAAAGTTATATGTGATTAAATGTAATATAAAAAATTATGATAATAATAAATAAAAGAATTGAAATGTGTGGCTAGCAGGTGGCGTGGTGTTTAGGGCACTGGACTCCCTCATGACTCACCAAGGATTGAGTCTCAGACCTGGCGTATTGCTTTCTTGCTTTCTCTCTCTCTCTGCCTCTTTCTGGTCAAATTAAAAATAAAAACAATGTTGAGTAAAATTAAATTAAATACTTCCTAGAAAACAGTTTTTAAAAATGAATTGGAAGGACAGTACAGGATGCAGGAAAGCTAGTACCAGAAGTGAATGTGACACTACGTGGGAATGTGACCCCAGAAGGCTGGCACTCACTGCCTACCAGCAATAATGGATGACAAGGGAGTAATCTACAGATATTAGCACTCTCATTTCGGGACGTATTTCCATGTACACCAATGTTCACATAAACACATTTTTTAACATAGCATGAATCAGGTACAACATGAAATTAGAAATTTGGGCAATACTGCATGGGCAGGGATCTGAAGGATCTTAGTTTGAAAATACCAAAGCATCATTATATATAGTTCCAAAAAGCAATACTCTAATTACTAATGATTTTGCTTAAATCTAAATTGACTAGATAACATTTGTATACATTTCACCAGGCACTTAATTCTAATATAAATAGAAAATTCTCATTACTTTATGTGGTAAACAACATACATAAGAACATCATCACTAGTCTATGCCTTCTTAAATTTATAAGTAGACCGACATTTCCCACTACAGATTAGTATGTACAGAGTTGAGTATGAACCCATAAAAATACTAAAAACAAAAGGAAAATAAACAATTATTGACCAAAAAAAGTTATATAAATAACTATTCTAGTTAAAATAAAGTACGTAAAGTAGAGGAAATCATCCTGAGAGCAATCATTAAACCATTCTTCTTTGGGAACCAGCAGTTAGCATAATGGCTATGTCGCTAGACTCCCACATAGTTAACTGCAGTTCGCGTCCCAGACCCGGTGGCTTAAACCTCACGCCGGGCGCGTGTGTGTGCGTGCCCAAGATCCCGAGAGGAGAATGGAGGAGAAGGGATTGCGATGTGACCATTCCCCCTGGGGGGTAATTTCTCGCTTTCTGTCTCTATGTCTCTCTCCCTCTGTCTGGCGAGCACACACACCCTATAGCGAAAACCTCTCCAAAAAAAAAACTATTCTTCTTCACCCAAACTTTAAACTTCAAACCTATGTCTACAATTGAAGAATATGAAACAGCTTTTGTTTCAAACAAGTTGATGGATGGCAACAGATTTTCTGTTGTTGTTGTTGTTGCTGTTAATAATTTCACATATGGTGTGTGGGCTTGCCAGAGAGAGAGAGAGAAAAGGAGAAAAACATCCCTCAGCTGGACGGCTATACCACTATCCCTTCTCCTCCACTGTCTTCTCATGATCAGGTCACCAACACACTCACGCCATGTATTTCTCAAGCTGCCAGATCGAGGAGTTGGACCTTGCAGTCGATACTGTGAGATCTAGTCACCCTAATTACCATGCCACCAGCCTGCCTGTAAGACAACTTGTAAACAGAAAACCTTTCATCAAAGTCATCTCAGAGTTAGAGCAGACTGACCATAGCCGTCGTAACACCAAAACCCCCAGAACCAGTGTTTCCATTATTCACTCATTTCTTTCTTACAGAAAGAGAAAGACAACACAGAGTCAGCACCCCACCCAGGTCCCCATGCTGTAACTCATCCCTAAGCTCAGCCAGTCCCAAATCACGGGCACACTCACATCTGGCACTCAGGAACGACCTTGGATGCAAACCCAGCACCTTTTGATGTGGATTGCCCACAGAGCACGGCGTTTCCACCCACACCCTGCTTTGACATGTATTCAACAGTGACCGCTACCCTTACTTACCAACCCGACAAGGTAAGCCACTTGCTTTGGGAAGGCAGCCTGTCTGCAAAAACCCACTGTAATAAACATGCCTTCCAGGGCCAACCGTGAGCACACTCTCACTGAGTAATCATGCTGCTTCTGATGATGTCAGCCTACCCATGGCTCTGCTGGTCTGCCGACCCTGAATCTCCACTCTTCCCCAAACCCTACATAAGACCAGCAGGCTGCTCTGCTGAAAGAGACTGTGCCTGACAGTTGAGCTTCGGCTCTCATGAGAGAAAACAATAAATTTCAACTTTGTCTTGTATTTCAATCACCGAAAGGCTCATAATCATTTGTCAGGAGCATTTTCAGTCTATTACATTATTTTATTTTCATAAAGTATCAATGATGTTAGTGTGTCTTGATCCATTTTATCACAAATATTGGTATAGAATGAAAAAAAAAGTGAATAAGTAGCAAAACTTGAATGTAGAGAATGTAACCTACTACGAGGAGCCAATTACGTCAGCAGGTGGTAAAGTCGTCAAGGTGCTGGATCCTCTATGACTTACTGCAGTGTGAGTGTTGGACCCAGGGGCTTAAAAATCCCACCTAGTACATGTGTACGAGTGCCCAAAATCCCAAGAGGAGAATGGGAGATAAGGGATTACAACATGACCACCTCTTCAATGGCTGTTTCCTCACTTTCCTTCTCTCTTATTAGCTTGCTCTGTCTCTCTATGGAAAGCACACACACCATATAGCAAAAAAAAATTTTTTTTTAATTTTTTTTGGAAATGAGACTTTACAAAAGGCATTAAGAAATGCCTCAACAGACATTCCTCTGTTCAACTGTGGCTTTATACATCCAACAACTGCTCACTGAATGCATATTACATGTTAGAGACACTACTGGTGCTGGCAAACATCCATTTTTATCCTTGATCTGGTAATTACTGGAATCTAATAATCTATGATAGTTTATCTAGACTTTACCTTTCTAGTGTACATGACCAAAGCCCTCCCTGTTATCCAAATTCTACACCATTTATTAGGCTGATATTACTGGTATTTCAGAGTATCTTACAATATCATAGCTATTTCTCACAATATTGTCAAAGATACTGTCAGATATACACAAATCTAGGAAGATTATATCCAATTCAGCATAGGGGCTCCCAAGGGGTGTGGAGTTGAAGGCAATGGAATCCACACGACAGTCAGTCAGTGCAGTTCAAGTCCCGGTCCCTTGGCCTTAAAAACTACCCTGGGCTAACACCCACGCTTGCCCAAAATCAGTGAGGAGACTAGGAAAAGAGACTGGAACGTCGCCATCCCCCTTGAGGATGTCCTCTCACCAACTGCACCCACGTTTCTCTCTCTCTGAAGAACACACATGTCATACAAGAAGAAAAAGAAAACTAAAACATAAATTCTATCCAGTCAGCCTTCAGTGTTTGTGTGTTTTTTATTACATTGTTTTAAGAAAGATCTATTCGTGATAGTTCAACTTTTCAATCATCATCTAGATGTTGAAGGACATTAGGATATTTCATTTCTGAACTCATTCCAAATAACAGCCTTCTTACTTTAAAATGATCTGAATAGAAGTTTTAAGAATAATTATCAATAGTTTTTTTGCCATGATTTAAAACATAATGTATTAGGCCTTCAAATACTTAGACAGTCTGACAAACTTACATTTAAAAACATGTCCTGCTCTTTTGGATTACTATTCATCCAGCACAGTATAAAACCATGTGTTTAAAGATGAAAAACAGAAGGAAGGAAAGAAAGAAAAAAGAAAAAAAGAAAAGAAGGAGAAAGAAAGAAAGGAGAAAGAAAGCAAGCAAGCCTCTCGGGTGCCTTATTCCTCATTTATCATCCAGTTTTCTCCTGACTCTAGCCCTGGAAATTCTCTAAGGACGTGTCTCAGCTTACCTCACAGCCAGACCTCCCTGGTGACTGAGGAAAGTGCTTTCAATCAAGGACACTTGCTCTCATTTTAGTTGATTTTCAATAGAATCAGAAGTTAACTATTCTCATGTTTGTCCTGAAGAGAACACTATTCTAGCTAATTTCTAGAAAAAGCAATCCCTTCTAATGTTCCCTGATAAAGGAATCAAGATACCATAGATTTTTACCTTTCTTCTGGATTTATTTCATGAACACTGTTGTCATCCTTCAGCTGAAGTGGAGCACCAGGGCGTGAACCGGGCTTTCCCACTACTCCTATATCCAGGTGTGGTACAGTCCATTTCACGTTCTCCTTGTCCTTGGTTTTGTTTTCATACAAGCTGAAGCTCCTCCTTTGAAAAAACCCATGAAAAAAAGCATTGGTCTGTAAACATTCTACTGATGAATAAAAAAACAATTGTGTAAACTCCCACACCTTAATCATCTGAATTCACTTCCTAGTTAAACAACAATGATGACATGTCAACTACACACAAGGAACCATATATTCTCAGCTTAAACACAGGGATGAACAGTATAATGTGGCACATGATTTAATCTCTGAATTTTTGTACCTAGCACAGGAAGGTGTTATATAAAAGAGGTAAAATACCAAAGAGGAGCTGTCTAGACAAGGAAGAGGGAGAAGAACTATCTACTTAGCAAACAGAGTGTGAGCACCAAGATTAGACACTGGGAGCATAGGTTCTCTAGAAAGAACTTGAAAGGAGGAGGCCTGCAGCTGGGGAAGTGCTGTCGGCGTCGGACTCCCTCACGGCCGACCATGGATCAAATGCTGGACTGGAGGCCTGCGTTCTCCTTTTCACTCTCTTTCTCTCTGTCTCTCACCCTTCAAATTAAAAATAATAACAATGATGAATAAAATAAAACCAAACATATATTGCGAAAAAAATTAAAAAAAAAAAAAGAATTGAAAGAAAAGTACAGAATGCAGGAAAGTGAGGACTTGAGATAAATGCGACACTGCACGGGAATGTGAAGCCTGAAGGCTGGAGCTCCCTGACTCCCAGCGGGGTGTGGAAGACATGGAGGAAATATAGATATGTTAACACCATCATCGTAGGAAAAGCAACCATAAAAGTAGGAAAAGCAACAGGAATACAAATAATTATCAATTTTAAAAAGTCATGCAGATAAGTAATCTAGTTAAAATAAAGGATATAAAGAAGAAGAAATCATCCCGACAGCAATCATAAAACCATTTTTGACCCAAACTGTAAACGTATAAATTCAGTCAAAATTCAAGCATATGAAATAGTTTTCATTTAAAACATAGTTGACAGACAGCAACTGTGCTAATTGTTAGTAATTTCCTATATGGTGCATGTGACTGAGAGAGAGAGAGAGAGAGGGTAGGAGAGAAAGCACCCCTCAGTTCAATGGCTATGCTGCTGTCCCTTCTCCTCCACTCTCCTCTCAGAATGCTGGGCACCCAAACATCTGTGCCCAGTGTGTTAATCAAGCTTCTAGTTCAGGGACTGGAACTATGCAGTCAACCCTTAACTACCATGCTATCAGTTGGCCCAAGTGTGTTAATCAAGCTTCTAGTTCAGGGACTGGAACTATGCAGTCAACCCTTAACTACCATGCTACCAGTTGGCCCAAAAGGCAACTTTTAAACAGAAAACATCTGGTCAAAGCCATCTCAACAACAGGAGAGGACTGACAAATAGCCATGGAGATGCTTAGACATGTAGAACCAGTTTTCACATTGTTTATTCTTTTTTTTCTTTCTTATACACACACACACACACACACACACACACACACACACACACAGCACCCTCAGCAAGGTCCTAATGCTATACCTCATCCCTAGCCTCAGCCAGTCCCAGATGATGGACATGCTCACACCTGAAAGTCAGGGACATCTCTGGATTCAACTCCAGTATCTTCTGATGTGGATTAGCCTCACAGAGCATGGCATTTTACTGCTGGGCCACCATCAAGCTTCCACCCCAGTTATACATGGGTTCAATCAGTGACCACTAGCCTTACTTACAAACTAGTCGATGTCTGTCACTTCCTTCAGAAAGACAGTCTGTCCGACATGAACCTGCTTTGATAAACATGCCTTCCAGTGCCAAGCGGTCAACAACACTCTCAGTTACAAAGAGTGCTGCTACTGATGATATCAGCCCTCCTATGGGTCTGGAGGTCTGTTGATCCTAAATCTCCACCCTTCCCAAAACCCTATATACAGCAGGCTGCTCAGTTTGAAGACACTGTGCTTTACCAGCCAAGCAATGATTTTCATGAGACGACTTTGTCTTGTATCTTAATTACTGAAAATCTCATAATTCCTGGACAGGGAATTTTCAGTCCATTAAATTACTACTCTCTCAGTACTCTTATTAAAATACCAGTGAAGTCTATGCTTTCTCTGATCCATTTTACCATAAATATCAGTAAAGAAAGAATAAAAGAGAAAGATATACAGCATGGCCATCTCCTCTGGGCATGCATTTTTTACTCTTTCTCTCTCTCTCTGCCTGTCACTCTCTGCCAAGTGCATGCACAACTTAAATAGCACAGTCAGCTATGTAAGATTCAGCGACCTTAATCAACATAACACCTACTGACCCAGAAGAAAGTTCTAAACAACCAAATACTCAATCTGCTGCTTGGCTGCCCCTGACTGTTTTTAGTCAAACTCAGACGAAAAGGGAAACAGAGTAGACTAATTTGGAAAACTGCCAGTCCAACCATTTAAAGATATAAAGTGCTGAGATAGCACTTGTAAAAAACAAACGAACAAACAAACAAATCTGCATTGACAGAAGTCACTCAGATGCTAATGAGAAAGAAAATGGAGAAAAGGCCTCAAGGCTATCTCAGAGATCTTCAGGGCTGTTCCTCCCATCATAAGCACAAAGGCCTGAGAGAGCAGAATGGTTTTCAGGAAAGGGCCTGAGACACCTATCCAGCCCTAGACAGTCTAGAGCTCTCAGTATACCAGAATAGTGCCTATTTACCCCACCTGTGTCTCAGTCAGCTCCAGGTGTGGCTCAAGTCACTGTGAAGGACAGCAAAGGCTGAAGACTGAGGCATCAGCAGCACTGGCAATCCACATCCACATTGCACTGCATGTGCTGCTACAATGATTCTGCAGGTGTGCAGAAGGCAAGAGCTGTGGCGGTGTGGCAGTCTCCACCTGTATCTCAAAAGATGTACTGAAAAGCCTGGAAGCTCAGGCAGAGACCTACCACATAGTCAGAACCATCAAGAGCCTTCACTATGACAGTGCCAAGCAGAATATCCACCAGGACGACTATGCCTACCAGAGCTGCAGTGGCAGATCCATCCTTGAGAACTCAAAACTGCAAACTCAGCAACAGCATGTACTGGCCACATAGGAAAAGTTGTAAGCATCAAACTCCACAAGTGCTATAACCAGCAAAGTCATGCTGACAGGGCTTCCCACAGTCTCAGAGGCCCCACCCACACTGCAGGATGTGGAACATTGAGTCCCACATTATTGTTCTAACCCTTGCATATCTAAGGTCTGCTCTTTGGGGTTTTGGATTTCATGGGCCATTTACTCCTTTTTTTTCTTTTTATTAATTCACTTTACCCCATCACAACACACAAATGAATTTTCCATCCAAAATACACTGTGCATTGACTCAATCAAGCACATCCACATACATGTTCTCAGCAAATAATTTTCCAATTCTTATGTCCTGCATACCTTGCCTTTTGTTTTGCCATCCTTGA